AAGTCGCTAACAACCATCTCCCTGTCACAAATTTGGCGTTTCATACAATTTTTTTTAGAGGTGCTTTTCCATTTTCGCTGCGGTCAGCATAAATCTCGACCACGTCGTAAAAGCCAGAAACGCAGCCGACCCGGAAGTTGGCCGTGACTCGAAAGATGTCAAGCACCTTCCGCGCGTAACCGTCCGCTGGTGACACCTGTCCCCTTCTCGACGCACCGGGGACGGGGTATGGTCAGCTACTCTCGAGCGGCTTCTCTGACGGAACTTTAAATAATTTACCTGCGTGGTAATTCCCAGAAGTGGCAGCCGGGGTAAGGCCGTCCGAGCGAGCCGGGGGCGTTCCGCATTGTCGCGAGAAACCAACTTAATGCAACCGGATATCCCCGCCGATCCCGTAGGGATATCGTTCGCGACGTTTCTACCTCGACTCGGCCCTTTCCACTGGCTTTTTACGAGCTTTTTCCGTTCGTATCCATCAGACCACCTCGGGGGAGAGCATGTTGGCAGAATAATAACCCGCCATGGAATTGGTCTCCGTTCCCCAATTTCTGTTTCTTACATTGACAAACGTGTTGTACATCTCTTGCTGGCTGCTAACTTCGTTTCGGTCCGTGTCCTACATTCTCGAGGGAACGTGCTCGTTTCTTTAGTAGCAGTGGATTAATACCGAATCCGGTTTATCACATTGATGACGGTGTATCCCTTGGTATTTGTTAACTTTGTTTTCGTTGGTTTTTGCGTCTTCTTTTGTTTTACGCCTCGAGGACACTTTGGATAGAGGATGTTCCAGAGACATTTTTTCTTCTTATGGGAAGTTGATTATTTCTATAGTACTTGAAACACATTTTTAGAATAGAAGAGACATAACAGAGTACTATATTTTCTGTTTCCAATTACAGACCAGTCTTTTCTATGTCTTCTTTTAGTTTAGACTTTGATTTTTTCCCATATAGCAATGGAATAACATTTTCCGAACAGAATTGAAATAAAAGAGTATCTATTTTCCGTTTTCAATTACCACGTTATAATCTTCTACACTTTTCTTTAATTTGAAATTTTCTCATCTTATGGAAAACAGATCGTTCCCATACTAACGGGATCAGATTATCCGAACAGAACAAATATAAAGGGGCACCTGTATAATATTTCCAATTATCAACCATGTGATTTCTTTCTACATATATTTCAGGGTCTGAGGGTATTTCGAACATTCTGAAACGCCGGTAGAATCATGTTTCCGGCCCGGGAACAAACATAAAAGATTACCCGTTTCCGTTCACCGTCTTAAAACTTCCGAACTATGCGCGAGACGCCATGGAATATTCTTATCGTCGATTCAGAAACAGCAGCCACTGGAACAATCGAGTAGAACACGTAGTAGTAACGTTCAAGGACCGAAACACCGGGGAGAATGGGGCCGGGCCCGTCGTAACCATCGGGTAAAGGGCGAACTTTGTTTAAGAAATACATGACGCGAAACGGGGCTATCAGCCGGAACTTCACTATCCTACTAAATTGCACGACAATCTTGCAGCAACTTCGCGAGAAGTAAAGACAACGTAACGGCGGGAGGTGTACCTACCTCTTCTACTTATCCTGACGCCTATCGACCGTGTCACCCGTAGAACGCCTCTCGGCTATCGACGAAACTATCGAATCCCATCGATCAAGTGTCAGCCATTCTGTCTTAAGTACAATAATTGCCATTGTTATTATTACCGTTACTCCGTCGCTTAAACGGTCCCGCTCGCTATAGTACGAGCCGCCTCCAGTTATTCCGAACTTGGTGAATTCCCTGGCCAATTTGTCAACTAATCGCAGATTCTGCTTGAGATACGTGGAAAGATGAATTTGAGAGCGTTAGAAAGGGACTTATTAGTATTGGTCACAAGGTGTTCGTTTGGGTTAGCTTATTTTTACGGTATATTTTAGAATCGTGTACGGATTCGAGAAATTAGGGTGGAGGAAGTGGAATGAAATCGTTTGTGCAGATAGGTTTATGTAAAATTGGAATGTTAAATTCTACGACTGGATTGAACTGTTAGGGAACGAACTTCCTTAAACGTTTAACGCCCAAACCTTTAAATTATGAAGAAGAACGAAGCTGGATGAACCTGATTAACGTGTCCACTTTATATTTCACTCACAATTCATACAATTAAATGAATCTATCTTAATATCTCCTGATAAAACGTCCCAAAGTAACGTGTAACACGATAGTTGAAATGGCGTACAATTCACGGACATAGGTCCACGGTGGGATCAAGAATCGTATAAAGATTGCGATCACGATCGTATTTCTAATCCCTATCATCGGTACGGAGGCAGCATGAAAAGGGAGTAACAAGAAATAATAAGTATACACGTCAAACCGGAATCAAGATGAACGATAAGATCGCCTGAAAGGAAAAGCCGAAGTATTCCTTGGAGGAATGTAAGAGAGAGACAGAGGTCACGAACGTAGCCCCATTAAACGGTGAATAACGTCCATGAGATCGACGACTACGACCCCCGCGGAAAGGAATCCGATTATCTATACAGTGATTTAAAATATTCCCGATAACGACCGTGAGGATCGACGATTTCGATCCCACGCCGACTACCTTCTGGAAACAAAGAGAGAACTTTATATACCGTTTATAACTCCATATCGCGTTTGGGAGGGTCGTGTGACGTGGGACATCGGGATTGGCGGATGGGGATGACAATGATGTGATCGGCAGGGGCTGATATTGGTACATATTTCTGGAACGCACGGGGGTTGACGAGGGTGACTTGAAAAAACGGATACGACTATTACGACGTTCCCGTTTTTTTTAGAAGATCAACGATAACGTAATGGAATGTTCACTACCGCTCGTAAGTATTAGGCAGAACTGGGCAAATTTTATTTTAAGTGAAAATAAGAATTGGTTAATTGAAATAATTTATTTAAAACCGATAAGTAGGGGGATGACGTCGGAACACGGAGGGCAAGTATATTTTATAGAACTATACATATAGTACTCTGAGTATGGACGTGGTGCTTTTGGTGAGTTTCATACTTGTTGTAATTGAACTGTTTAGTTTTGTTTGGTTTTTATTCTTGTAATTGAACTGTTGGAAAGATCGCTTGAAAACATTGTGACCTGATTGTAGATGTTGACGATTGGACGACTTGAAAAAGATAGACGATTAAGGTGTAATTAATACACGATTCCACGAGTCTCTATCAATGATTTTCATAGATATTTTGTCAATTATTTTCATTTTGTCCTTTGTAATCGTTTATTGTTTCAAAATTATCGCAAACTTCGCAAGATTTGTCCTGAAGATTTATACCTTGATTCAACGATAAGACTGTGCTTCGTAGAGTATTAATTCGTTTCTATGAAATTTAAAAAAAAATAAGATTCAAATGTGGAAGCAACGAAGTTTGATCGAGTCGCCCGCAGACGTTCCGTGGCTGTTCGATATTTATCGAAGCCACGAAAAGTCAATCGGATTTCTGTATTGTTCAGATCCGGGATTGGAATGGAAGTCGATGTAAACTTCGTTGTTCAGCGACTGGAAACTTTCATCTCTCCGCGCAGCATCGACAAGGTATTTTCGTTCCGTATACGGAATGCTGGCCCGCGCGAACGGGGCCAGAAAAATGGCCATTGGCTTTTTCTATTATCCCGATAAACATCTCACGGTGATGGCTTGTCAATAACAAAATACTATATATATACCGAAGACGTTGAAGTGAACGCAAAAGCTCCGTCGATGTGTATTTATTGCATCGATATATCCGTATCAGACATCAATCCGTGTATACCAATCGCATTCAACGTGGCAAATGCTTGTTTCTACTGAAGTAATTTGTCTTGACGTGTTATTTCGCCGTGGAATAAGTTTCGTTAGGACTTTAGGTGTTCTCTTTTAACGGGCCATAAACCACGCTGTTAGCTCCACCGTTGCCTAATATTTGCGAATTTCAAGTTATATTTCATTGGTTACTAACCTGAAATAGGGCAATATTCAGTTTGTGAATTCGACGAAGTAATACGTAAAATGTTCAATAATAATAGTGGATTTAGAATTGCATAACTTCTGTTTTAATCAATGATGAATAAGTAAAGTGGTAAAAGTGTTTTATTAAGCGTGAATTAAAACGGAAGATCGGTATTATATGTAGAACTAGAACGTAATTATGTAACGTTTACAATTCAATAGAACGTAATGAATCACTTCATTATCTGCCATTCATATTGTCCCGTAATGATGAAACTGTAAAATGCGTATCGAGTATACGACAGGACACAATATTTAGTTGTTGCCAACCTTAAAAAACGGTCAGTCGTTGTTTAAACTTTCGCGTCTTCCCTGGATCTTTTATGGCAGAAGCGAAATTTCGCGCTCAAGTAATTCCGAAAAGAAGGGATTCCTATTATAAAAACCTTTTAACGTCCAAATGTAAAAACTATTGAATTATGTAGTAGAGACCTGGAAATATCCCAGAATTCTTTTAAGATTTTTCGGATGTCTATAATATAAAGCAAATAGGTCTGAATATAACGGACTCAGGGGGCTGACGGAAGCAGTAAAAATAAGGAAGGTTAAAAATCACACTGAAGTCGTGGTCTTTATTAAAATTCATAGAACAGCTATCTACTTTTCTACATTCATCAAAAGCTAAATCGTGCTAGTGCGCAGGCGCACGCAATGTGGTGGGGTAACGAATTTATATGTTTGCAAGTACATGTGAAAGGGAAATGTTCAGTGACAATATAGTTAGAGTCCACTATATTTAACACAATGGAGAACCTGGTTTAATTTTTTAACAAGAAAACTTCCTGGAAAAAGTCATGTCTTTTAATAATATTATTTAAACGAATGATTTAAAAAAATTATATAATTGGTTGGATTCCTCAATCAAACACACAACTTAAAAAAAATAGATACACATACGATTAGTCAGTCGTTTAGAAGGAAAACTGTGCAGCAGGTCTCATGCAATGATGTTGTATGGTACTTACAAGTCATGTTCACGTAAACGGAGGACGATAGCGGGATCGACCTATTGTTGTTCGTCGCGTTGCAGGTCAGCACCGAGTGCACGTCGTCACGTCCCAAATTTTTGATAACGAGCTCGCTCCGCGTCACGCCGTTCCGCACGGTCACGGTTTTGTCGTTGACGAGCGTGTCGTTACGGTGCCAGGACACCTTGGGGGTCGGTTTACCTGCGGAAACGGCATCAGATTTGCGATTTACGTGAATCGAGGTGACATCGTGCGAAAAAGAAGGGAAAACGCAGGGAACTAGAATATATGAAAAAATCGACAGCTCGTCTGTGGGGAACGACGAATTCTCATCGAAGCACCGGAACCTTACGAGAGAATTCTCTGCGTTTCACCCACACCGTGTACGTTTCTGTCTCTTTTTTTTTTTCGGGAACCGCAGACTCATTAAATTCTCGTTTTCCCGGGTGTGTGTGCGCGTCGAAACGCGGGGAATATTAATTCTTTGTCGATCTTTTTTTTGCACCGATTCGCGCGACCCGTTTTCTATGCGGAGGACGGATTCACCCGTTCGGAACGAATGAATAATATTCCACCGATCGGATGGAATATGTAAGTATTCGCGCACGCAAGCGCGCGTGATGAAAAAATTTCGAATGGACCGTGAAAGGCTCGTTTACAATGGAGAGGATCTCGTGCGGGAATTATATCGTGTATGGAAACGACGATGAAATAGAAACTAGATATGTAGCTCTACGTGATATTTTCGGTGGAAGGAGAATTTCCTATTGTAGTATTGCGCTCGTAGATTTAACAGGCAGAAAATATTCCTTTCTTTTGTAACAGAATTAATATGTGGGTGGTATTATTAGAAGTACCGAATTGTTTTTTTCTGAAAACAAGGTTTTTACAGATACGTCCATTAGTCTTAGGAGGGCAGTATAAGCTGTGCGATGTGTTTCTAGATAAGAAAAGAAGTCGATAATGTGGTATAACGAAAAAATGTATTACTCAGCATGAATAATCGAAGAGTTTAATAGTGTTTCCTTTTATTACACTTTTATCTAGGCTCTACTGTCACCGGTGGTATATAACCCATGAAGAAATGTTTCTAGATGAAAAATAAAATTTATGATCAGGTATAGTCAGTGGTGAGGGAAGTTCACAAAGTCTATTTTTCAAACTTACTCAGAATGTTACTTTTTGTGACTATGATCGTTTCTCCCTTGAATTACTCAATTCTTCAGTTCGTACTTTCGAATACGGCTAGTACAGTGTCTGACTACTACTCGTTATTTCTACTTAAAGTAGACGCTGGTAGGACATCGTCTGTGTTCAATTTTCAATCGACATCGAATTATCGTTGAAAACATATGATATCATGTTACAAAATATGCTTACAAGTATTACCGTAAGTAGAAATCGCCACTAGCGGAGAGATACATGTGGAATAATGGGGAATGATCCAGTGAAGGGAGCTGGGAGGGTAATATAATTAGAAGGATAAGGGCATCACATGTAGCCGCATTCCACCGGCTTGCATAAACCCTTTCGTAAACGAGCTTTCAACGATCCACGGAAGCTCGATCTCGTTTCTGGAATTGCAGTCGGAGGCAACGGAGTGTTCCGACGCGGCGGTCCTCTCGAACCGACTACGGAAACACACGGTCGCGACAATATTACATCGTACTCACCGCCGTACACGTCGCAGTAGAGCCGCAGAGTGTCGCCCTCCATGTACGGGCCCACCATCGAGTTCCGTGCGATTACGGAGTCATCGACGATCACGATTTGGTGCGGCGGAACTGGAAACAGAAGAAACAGCATGGTCACGGGACGAGAATTACTTATAAACACCTTACAATAAACGTGCTCTTGTCGTTATTGCTTTTATGCCCTTTTATTCCGATTTTATTTAAACACTATCTTCATATTATTTTAACTCGTAACTGCTGCTAAGCTATTAAGTCAAATTGACCGGCACGCTTAAATCGTATTTTCTGTATATGTATTTTCCATTCTTTTAGGTACCTCACGATCTATATCTACTTCAAAAAATTTTCATTAAATTTCTAGTTCCCTACCAGAAGAAAGTATCGAGTAGCCAGATCTTGACGGTTAAGACACTATACTGTATGAAGGGTTAACAAACCAAACTTCCCCAAGACCTACAAACCTCCCTCCCAACTGCTCCCCAGTCAAAACATCTCCTGCCCGCACAATTATCAATATTACTTCCTGTTGATCGATATCGCCCCATCCAAGCCATTTAGCAACAGTCCAACCGGTTCGAAATGGTTTCAAGCTACCTCCATCGATACATCACTCGAAGTTCTGAGCTGATTAACCGTCCCCCTCTCCCCACCCACCTGTGCCCATACCCACGATTCAATCCCCTAATCTTCCGCCACCTTCTCCGGCCAATCACTCCGTAGGAATCCGTTTGCCCAAATGTCTTCTCGCGAGATAAGAATCTCTAGACGACTCAAGTCGCGCCGGTTGCCTCTTCAGGGGGCCAGTGGTTTTCATCGCGAAACCAGAGCGCGGGTTCGCCAGAGTCCCACCAAAGAGGATGGATCGCGGAGTCGAGCCGCCGTCGGTTTGTGTGGCGGTCCACCGGCAAGACGGAAGCCGTCGACGTCGGCCAGAGGCCGATAACGCGAAATTGGTATTGGAAGAGATCGCGGCACGGATACCCCGACAGCATTAAATTGGAATCTGAAATCGATACGGCGGCGCATCGGGGACGCTCGAGTCCCTGTGCATTCGGAACGAGCTGGGTACCGAAGATGGGGTTGGAATGGGGGTGGAAGTGGTAGCCACCGTCGCGTATCTGAGCTGGGAGTAATTGAAGAATTACGGTTGCGTCTCTTCTTTTCGTCTGGCTTCCGCCACGTGGCCTCCTAGTCCTTCCTCCCAAAAGACAAGCATCCCTTCTGCGGTGATCCTGACAAATGGCGCTGGTAGAACCGCCATTTATCCGTATCAGCCTTTGTACTTGTATTTCTGGTATCACCCCCATCCCTCCTCTCTGTCTTGTAATACATTTATATATCTGTCCGAATGGCGGACAGGGACACCACACGGTCCTCGAGGAAATATGATACTGTTGCGTCGATAGGGGGCCGAAACGTATGCGAGAGTTGATGGCGATCTTTGTTGGACACCCTCGGTGTGTCGACGACGAAAGGAGAATGCTGAACGAAGCCGGAAACTATGGGATCCTGTTGGAAATGTGAGGACCGATGACGCTATGGCGACGTCATGTGAGGGTTGATTGGTATTGGGTTCGTTTGGAAAGTTCGTAGCGTTTTTAATGGCGGAGTCACAATATCTATATATTTTTATCAATTCATATCTGTTGTAAAACTTATAATTCAAAAATATAGAACCAGGCTCTGCTGTCATGTTAGAAAAATTTATACTGTTTGTATTTTTAATGTACGTATTATTTAATAACATCTAAAAGAAAGAATAATACATCACATGTTATGAAATTTTGTAGGCCATAGACACTGTTATTCTGTAATAAATAAAGGTGGTATATCCCCCCTGAACGCCATTTTTTCGCTCTCACATATTTTCCCGCGCTGATACTGGATCTGAATTGAATCTTTAATCTCTATATCCAACTTCAGCCTCTAGCCAAAACGATGTTACTCCCCTGGGGAGAATCTTCGGGGGGGCTTGCAAGTGGGAATAGGTTTGTGAGCAATCCAATGAGCTTCTATCTAGATTACCTCGTGCGGCAGAAACGATACTCCAGAAAAGCTGACAGGCATCGTTCATCATAATCGCGGACAGCTTGATGCTATTTGTATCCGTGACTTTCGTAAATATTCGAATGTGGCGTCACCTCGATAAACATTTGTCTCAACTTTACGTGACATTCGAATTTTTATTGACTAATTTATAATGATATTATAATACCTCGAATTGTAACTAACAACAAGAAGACAGCAACTCATCCTGTATTTGTTGTTTTGTTTCGGTGAACGTATTCTCAATAAATTATTCATATTTACGTAACACTGTCAACTGGTCGGAGATGTCAAGAGATATTTCTTCGGCAGTCTGTTCCGTGTCGTTCTGCGGTGAACCGTTAACGCTAGAAGGATCGATTAACTGTCCTTTGTAACTTAGACTATTTGAACGGTATCAGCGGTGTTCCACCGGCAATCGTGGCGTGCCCATCAGGCCAATATTTGATTGTTTGAGTTTGGCCGAAGAGTACGTTAGATGGCATCGATATTCCCTGTGTCCGATGTACGCTCAGGATTTGCATAATATCCGAAAGATTATCTCGATACCCCTTGTGTCTACGCGTTCATGCTCCATGCTACGGAGTAATATCGTTCCGAAATCCGAACGGAAGTCGATGATAAGTTTATGTCTTACGAACAAGCTATTGCGATAAAAGTGAACGATTAACACAGCGAAAGGAGCACACTGTACCTGGTTGAAAATTGAAGACGATAGAACCAGTCTGGACTTCGTGCAAGATTGTTTCACATTTTCGCAATTAATATCACGTGACGCAGAGGAAAAGAGCAACCAGCGTGTCGCGACATTGAGAAATAATTGCTAGAAAAAATGTAATTGGAATTGTTGAAGTTGCTTGGGGTTTTTTCGTTTACGATATCAATTACCAACGTGACAGTCTGTCGACTTCAAGATAATTGTTCACATTGGTAGGTTGTCAATTTTTCATACTTCAGTAATTTATTTCGGTTCTCGATGGAAACCACATCTGTAGTTCTAGACGGAAATTAAACTTCTTGTTAATTTCTACCTAGGTACTATTATGGAGAATTTTAGAACAAATTAATGTTAACTCTGAATTAAGTTTCATTCCACTCGGTACAGTATAGAATTTCAGTGTAGATTTAACATACATTTCATTTTACACAGTATGTCCGATTTAAGTGCATACACGCTATTATTTCATATGAAAGATTTTATCGCATTTTCAATAGTTACAGAAATATTAGCGGGTATAGACTAAAACATACTGTACAGAATACATTCGATTCACCAATATACAAAGTAAACGAACCTTCCTCTGCTTTACTTTTCAGCTCTACCTCCCCTTCCAATTCCATAGATACCAATTTAATTTCATACTCGGCCAAGATTGAACAACCAAAGTAAACTAATTCTCGATTCCCTTTGAGTGTAGTACATCAGTCTGCGCCATGTTTAATTCATTCGTAATTACGATTGTACCCCGATTCACTGAAAAAATTACATCCAATTCATCTGACGTAGTCGGAAGATCAAGCTGCTTATCTAGTTTCGTTCGATTGCTACGAAACACCATTCACACACGGATCATTCATTCCCTATAATATTTTGTTTCCGGGGGCGGGACGTTTATAACTGTCAACTAGAATTTCTTACACCTTCGTGTGTCACACGCGCCGGAAATCGATATTCGTTCACCGTTTCCGTTCTGCACGTCCGTGTTTCCCTGTGCGGCACGAATTTTCAAAGAGCTCCGTTTCGGATTTTCGCCGATGCCGCATCGATGAACACCGCGATCCAATTCGTTTCTAGCCCCGTGTTTCGATTTCGTCGCGTCCCAATTTTCCTCCCCTTCCCCGCCCCTCTGACTTTGGCCTCGTGTTTTCCCTGGCTTTCTTGCCTCCACCCCTCTACCTGCCTCGTTTATTTAGCCCGATGGATACGCGTTCGTTAACACCGTCCCCGGAGGAAGATCTATCTTCGTGACAGGTGCACTCACGTAATGGATTATCGCCGTTAAAAGTGTATAATCGTGATCAGATCGATCTGTTGCTTCCTACCATAGATGGGCACAATTGAATGATTTTGTAATTGAAATACATGTAAAGAATTGGATGTTTGTATTGAATATACAGGGTGTCCCAAAGTAGCTTCGACTCCCGAAAATGTAGGGTTTCTGGGATGATTTGGAACAACTTTTTCCTTAGCAAAAATGTTAAGGATAAATAAGTTAAAACAAGACCAATAGCCTTTACTAACTAAACGCATATATTTTCGATGATTTATGGCTTAAAACACGAAATAAAGTTTGTCTGATTATATATGACCCATTTTTTACTGCGGTAGTAAATATGTTAACCCGTTGATTTAGTCTTTCGTCGATTTGGTGATTACTTTATGTAGTCTGTTCTGTACCTAGTGATTGTTGAATGTGTCTAATTTTACATATTCGAATAATTCATTTGTGCAGTGTCTTTGCAAGTGTTTAATTTGTCTGTTACAGGTATGTATTCTACGGCGTGACCTAGATACTGTCAAACCTAATTCAGAGATGGATGTTCACGAAGATCAATCTTCCTTGCTAATTCCTGGTGACACAGAGCTATACCAGGCCTGTGGTATGTTCAAATTGGTATATTCACTATTGTCGCTCTACGAAAAATCTTAACACCCGAGTATTTCCAGTAATTACCTAAAACATTCTTCGTAAATTCGTTAAAGATGGTTTCAACCATTCCACGCTCTAAACATTACCAAATGAACCAACAAAACGATCTGCCATTTCAATTTGAAAAAGAAACGAGTAACGTTGGTGTTTAATAATTTTAGTTTGAATTTGTCACACCGCAAATTTAGCTCGATCTCACAAAAATCCATCGGTCAATCCATCCAATGCAGTTCAATTACCTTTGGATTTCTTGCCTCGCAGTCCCCCCATTATCATAATTACTAGCACATTCCTCCTCATCCTTGATCCACCAGCACAGTCAATCGACCAAAGCCTCAATTTCACCTTCCCCTTGAATCCACATCTGCGACCCGTCGATACGTAAACCGCAGC